ACCTACGTCTGTGACACCACCCACGCCCTCCACCTCCTCCAAAACCTCCGATTCCCTGGTCCCCAACACCTCATCTTTACCATGGACGTCCAGTCCCTATACACGTGCATTCCCCATGCAGATGGCTTAAAGGCCCTCCGCCTCTTCCTGTCCCGCAGGCCCGACCAGTCCGCCTCCACTGACACCCTCATCGGCTTAGCCGAACTCGTCCTCACCCTTACCCTTAACAACCTCTCCTTCAATTCCTCCCACTTCCTACAGACAAAGGGGGTGGCCGTGGGTACCCGCATGGGCCCAAGCTATGCCTGCCTCTTTGTAGGATACGTGGAACAATCCCTCTTCCAAAGCTACACTGGCCCTATTCCCCACCTCTTCCTCCATTACATCGATGTCTGTATCGGCGCCGCCTCGTGCTCCCACGAGGGGCTCGAACAGTTCATCCACTTCACCAACACCTTCCACCCCAACCTTAAGTTCACCTGGACCATCTCTGATACCTCTCTCTCCTTCCTGGACCTCTCTGTCTCCATCTCTGGCATCCACCTGGAAACAGATATCCATTTCAAGCTTACCGACTCCCACAGCTACCTAGAATACAACTCCTCCCACCCACCTTCCTGCAAAAAGGCCATCCCCTATTCCCAATTCCTTCGCCTCCACCGCATCTGCTCTGGAGATGAGGCATTCCACTCCTGGACATCCCAGATGTCCTCATTTTTCAAGGACTGCTACTTCCCCTCCACAGTGGTCGAAAACACCCTCGAAAGTGTCTCTCACATTTCCCACAACTCATCCCTCACACCCCCTACCCACAATAACAACCAAAACAGAATCCCCCTCGTCCTCATGCACCACCTCGCCAACCTTCGGATCAAATGCATCATCCTCCGACATTTCTGCCATATGCAATCTGACCCCACTACCAAAGACATTTTTCCCTCTCCACCCTTATCTGCTTTCTGGAGGGACCACTCTCTCCATGACTCCCTTGTCCGCTCCATACTCCCCACCAGCCCCACCACCCCCAGCACTTTTCCCTGCAACCATAGCAAGTGCTACACCTGCCCCTACACCTCCCCCCTCACCCCCATCCCAGGCCCTAAGAAGACCTTCCACATCAAACAGACGTTCGCCTGCACGTCTGCTAATGTGGTACACTGTATCCGCTGTTCCTGTTGTGGCCTCCTCTACATCGGGGAAACCAAGCGGAGGCTTGGGGATCGTTTTATGGAACACCTACGCTCGGTTCGCAACAAACAACTACACCTCCCAGTCACGACCATTTCAACTCCCTCTCCCACTCCTTGGGCAACATGTCCATCCTGGACCTCCTGCATTGCCACAATGATGCCACCTGAAGGCTGCAGGAACAGCATCTCATATTTTGCTTGGGAACCCTGCAGCCCAAGGGTATCAACGTGAACTTCACAAGCTTCAAAATCTCTCCTCCCCCAACCGCATCCCAAAACCAGCCCAACTCGTCCCCGCCTCCCTAACCATTCCTCCCACCTCAAGCCCCACCCCCATCTCCTACCCACTAGCCTCATCCCACCTCCTTGACCTGTCCGTCCTCCCTGGACTGACCTATCCCCTCCCTAACTCCCCACCTATATTCACCTTTACTAGCTCCAAACCCGCCTCTTTGACCTGTCTGTCACCTATCTTCTCCTTTATCCATCTTCTATCCGCCTCCCCCTCTCTCCCTATTTATTTCAGAATCCCCTTCCCCTCCCCCATTTCTGAAGAAGGGTCTCGACCCGAAACGTCAGCTTTCCTGCTCCTCTGATGCTGCTTTGCCTGCTGCGTTCATCCAACTCTACACCTTGTTATCTAATGTTCTGGGGATTCAGGTTCGAATCCCACTGCAGCAGATGGTGGAACTTGACTTCAACAAAAAGTCTGAAATTAAGAATCGACATAAGGTGAAACCATTGCCGATTGTTGGAAAACCCATGTGGCTCACTAATACACTTCAGGGAAAGAAATCTGCCATCCTCATGGGATTCCAGACTCTCAGCAATGTTTTTGGCTCTTAACCAGCAAAGGACTCAGCTATATCAGTTGTTAGGAAGTTTCAACAAGGAAATAAGACTGGATGAGCCACCTGGCATCGACCTAGGTACCAGAAAAGATAGTGGCAAAAATAGCCCCCTCCACCCTGCAAAGTTCCCCTTAACATCTGGGGGCTCGTGCAAACTTGGGAGAGCTGTCTCACAGATTAGTCAAGCAACAGCCTGACACTGTCTGCAAGGTACGATTGCATAAGTATGACCATGTCCCAGGCATCACAGACACCATCCCTGCATATGTCTTGTCCCACTGACAGGACAGACCTAGCAGAGATGGCATACAGTTGGGAGGGAGTTACCCTGCGAGTCCTCAAGTCTCATGGCTTCACATTAAACATGGGCAAGGAGACCTCCTGCTGAATGCCAAGTACTCTTATCCTTCGACTGATGGATCAGTACTCCATGTGTTGGAAGAAGCACTGAGGGTGGTAAAAGTGCAACATGTACTCTGGGCAAGGAATTTCAATGCCCACCACCAACAGTGGCTCAGCAGCGGCAATACTGATCAAGCTGGTTGGCCCTAAAGGACATACCTGCTAGATTGGGTCTGCGGCAGGACCAACAAGAGGGAAAAGCATTCTTGACCTCAACCTTACCATCTGCCACCTGCAGATACATCTGTCCATGACAGTATCGGTAAGAGTGACCACCACATAGTCCTCGTGGAGGCAAAGTCCTGTCCTCACATTGAGAATATACTCCATTGTGCTGTGTGACACTACCAATGCGCTAAATGGGACAGACTTCAAACAGATCTATCAACTCATCCATGAGGCACTGTGCGTCATCAACAGCAGCAGAATTATATTCCAGCATAATCTGAAACCTCATAGCCTGGCATATCAACCCACTCAATCATTTCCATCAAACCAGGGTTCAGTGGAGAGTGAAGGAGGACATGCTAGGTGCAGATGAAGATATACCTAAAAATAAGGTGTCAACCCAGCTACAACCTGGCTATGCCAAAGAGCATAGGCAGCAAATGAAACAGAACTAAGCGATCCCACAACCAATGGATCAGCTCTAGGCTTTGCAGTCCTGCTACATCCAGTCGTGAATGGTGACAGACAATTAAAAGGCTCACTGGAAGAGAAAGCCCCACAAATATCCCCATTCTCAACGGTGGTAGAGTCCCACACATCATTGCAAAAGATAAGGCTGAAGCATTCACAGCAATCTTCAGCCAGAAGTGCTGAGTGGATGATCCATCTCAGCCTCCTCCAGTGGTCCCTAGAATCACAAATACCAGTCTTTAGCAAATTTGATTCACTCAAGTGATGTCAAAAAAACAGCTGGGGCACTGACAACATTCCAGCAATAGTACTACAGACTTGTGCTCCTGAACTTGCTGCTCCCCAGCACTGTCTTCTCCTGGTTGGCATCATACCTAACACTTAGGAAGGTGGTTGTTGAGAGGTCAATCATCTCAGCTCCAGAACATCTCTGCAGGAGTTCCTCAGAGTAGGCCTAACCATCTTCAGCTGCTTCATCAATAATCTTCCCACCACTTCTGACCTTAGAAGTGGGGATATTCATCGATGATTGCACAATGTTCAGCACCATTCGCGACTCCTTAAATACTGAAGCAGTCCATGTTCAAATGCAACTTGATCTGGACATTATCAAGCCTGGACTGACAAGTGGCAAGTAACATTCACGCCACACAAATTCCAGGCAAATGTCTCTTATTGGAGATGATCAATCTAACCACTGCCCCTTGACATTCACTAAATACCCCACTATCGACGTCGTTGGGGTATCTGGTACCATTGACCAGAAACTCAACTGGACTCATTACATCAACACAGTAGCTACAACAGCAGGCCTGGGGCTAGGAATACTGCGGCAAGTAACTCACCTCCTGACTCCTCAAAGCCTGTCCATCATCTACAAGGCACAGGTCAGGAGTGTGATAGAACACTCCCCTGGATTGGTGCAACTCCAACAACACTCACGATGTTTGATATCATCCAAGACAAAAGCAGCCTTCTTGATTGGCACCACATCCATCAATGTCCACTGCATTCATCACCAACTCTCTGTACCAGCAGTGTGTACAACTTACATCTAGAAGGACAATGGCAGTTGATACATGGGAACACCACAACCTGCACTTTCCCCACCAAGTCACTCACCATCCTGACTTGGAAACATATTGCTGTTCCTTCACTGTTGCTGAGTCAAAATCCTGAAATTGGGTCAACATACAGCATGTGGACTACATCAGTTCAAAAAGACAGCTCACCATCACCTTCTCTAGGGCAATAAATTATGGCCACCCAGCAATACCTATGTCCCACAAATTAAAACAAAAAAATGCTTAAGATCGCCACTGACTCCAAGTTAGAGAATGTGCTTCAGTAGAGCAAAGGTTCTTTAACAGCTTAATCTGAAACACTTTATATATTGAAGACGGAATGTGAGGAATGGATTGTTCAAGATGAGAAGGTGTAGAAATGTTAACGAATTTGGAGATATTTTTATGGGAGATTTGACGAAGAATATTCATTTTTAGGGACCTGTTAAATGAACTGTGGAATCAGTAATCTGAACTCTCACAGGTTACTTGTGAATCAAGTAAATTACGAACTGACCTGCAGATTAAGTGATGTGAGATTTTGAATAGTTGCGGTCATTATTATCTGTGTAAAGGCTGATTCAACAATTATTTATTTAAATGTTAGCTGTTTGGTTTAAGTTTTATTATACCAGATTGAGAGAAACACAACAGTCCACAAAATATCTCCCCATATCTGTCAACATCTCCAAATAAGTAGCACAAGGCATAATGTTTACTCAAGTTACCTAGGCAGCACTCATAGGGTTAATGAAGTTCCAGCTCATGTCTCCTCCAGTCAGAGGGGAGTGGCAATTACAGCTCCCTCCCCCCACCCTCTCCCTGTACTCCTCCTTTCTGTGAAAAGCACAGATTGCATTCATTAGCGTAGCTTTTTTTTGCCAGATCCCATGAAGGAGTGTAGCAGCGCAGGGAAACAGTGAGATGCTGTTTGTTCCCTCCTGGCTCCCACAGTCTATCTCTGTGACCATCCAATCTGTACTTGCACCGAGATATCCTGCTAGCCCGAGAAGAGATCTAACAATCTACAAGTCACCACACAACAGGCTTGCCCTTCTTCACAGCATGCAGCAAACAAGGTAAGATTGATTTTGTGTCACTCAGCTCTGGATTCTGTCTCTCTCTCTCACACACACACACACACACAAGCTCTGGTCAACGAATTCAAGCATAAACTCTTGACAAAATGGCACACAAATATTATTCCAGAGGTTTTGCCACCAGTTGCAAAACAAGTTTCTTTCTGCTCTCTGATTAGCTATACACATTTATTTGAAAGCAATAACGCCCAAATCTTTCAGTCATTCAAGCACTGCATCAACAAACTGAGCTGGTATAAGCTCAAACATCAGAGTGGTGTTATAAACACCAGACCAGTCAAAGATCTAAAGCTAATGAAAGAGTTTAACAATTTCAAAACAAGAGCTTTGGTGAGTGAATTTGAAACCAGGTCTGCATCAATCATTCCAGTACAGAGTCACTCCAGTCTTTAGAGTATGCTTCTTTCATAATAATACACGTAGTTTATTCAGGAGGTTAAGAGGTGTATTTACTGTATAATTAAAGGCACTCTTCATTCATTGTAACTTGCACTGATATAGTATCATGAATGTTGAGAATCTCAACATTATCAGATGTAAATGGTCAGTGTGCCATGGAAGAGGATATCAGGATTAGGTCATTAAAGACTTCAGAGAGGTGTGTCTTCAGGAGAATCTTAAAGGAAATGGCAGAGGTAAAGACTGGAGAGTTTTAAGTGCAGAATTTCCAGAGTTTAGGGATTAAGCACAGCCACCTATGGTGGGCTCAAGGGATGAACGATGCACAAAAGACCAGAAAGAGAGACATGGGATGTAAGGGCTGGAAAACTATAACACGGATAGGGAGGGGTGAGGCCATGTCGAGATTTGAGCACAAGGTTAAGAATTTTAAATTCATCACGTTGCCGAGCTGGGAGCCATCAGAGATCATAGGGTTGACAAGTGAACAGGACCAAGTGTGACTTAAGACATGGATAGCAGAGTTTTGGATGAGTTCAATTTTACATAGGTGGAAGGTGGGAGGTCAGCCAGGAGAGTATTGGAATGCTTGAACCTCAAACTAATGAGAACTGGACAAGAGTTTCGTCAGATGTATCAGGCAGGAGTGGAAACAAGAGATGTTCCACAGATGGACATTCAGATAGAATCACTGAAGAGGGACTGGAGTTTGTGGTGGGGACCAGAGACAATGATTTCATACATACTATTATTAACAGGAGCTACTGTTTATTCAGCACAACAGGGATTACTACCTGTGTAACTGTACATAATTGCCATTTATTCAGCAGGATAAGGGTCATGCATATAGTTACAGTTTATTCAGTGGATTAAGGGTTACTCTCTAACAGCATAGAGATCTAGCTTATTCAGTAGAGTTAGGGTTTATCTATCTGGGACTGGAGTTTCTTCCTTGTAGTATAAAAGTTAAGGTATTAATCACACTAGCAAATTAACATGGCTAGTTGAGGAACAGGATGAGCCTGAATTACCAGCTGAACTTGCTTTGAGTGTTGTTCCATTGAAAACACTGGACTTTTCAGGTAAAGGTGTCTCTTCACTGCTCTGTACAAACGTCAGAACAAGAGTCAGATGCAGCAAGAACCTCGTTTTAGATGTAGACTGAATCATATTCTGACCGTCATTACAAATCATGAGGATTTTGTAATTAAACAAATGAGTTAATAGGCCACAGAAAGTCATCAAAGTAATTCTGGGTATCTGAAAAGGGAGGGAAACTCTCCCCCAGACACAGGGCAAGAGGAGACCTTCACTCTCCCCAGACACAGGGCGACAAGAGGATTTCACTTCTAACTCCCAAGGCACAAGGTCAACAAGGGGACCCTCTGTTTCACCAGTACAGGTAGTGAAATTAATGATTTCTAATTATGGTGTTGGCGCTGTGCAAATTTTTCTTGGCAGTGGCTAGCGAATGTGGTTTGTTTCAAAATAAACTAGGAATACTGTTTCTGTAGCTGCTGGAGAGAGAGAGTGGAATTTATTATAGCATTCTCATTACCTCGGGATGGTATGCAGGGGTGGAGCTCACTCCTGGAGGCAGGCAGTAGCAGAGGCCAATCTTTAAACAAGAGAGGGTCGACAAAGAGAAAAGTAAACAAGCTTTCAGCAGCTACTGGCCTTTAATTAAAAAAGTGGAGAGCTCAACAGGACTTGCTTTTTATTCACGTCTTAAGATTTTCAGATAGATTTTGTCTGTGGATTTAACCCCAACATTATGCTCCACGAGGATCAAGCTATATTCAGACTGGAGCTGCCCAAAAGGAGAATGTCAGATATGTCAACTGACACCTCACTGCTGCCTCAGAACTCGCTCATTCATCTAACTCCTCCCAGGGTTGATCTTCATTGAGGGCCGTGGTGCCGGAATTCTTATTGCACAGGACATCATCTCCCACCCTCTCCCGAGCACCCTTATTACCGACTGTATTTCTGAAAAAATGTCAATCCATTTCCCTCACATTGTCACTCAATAATTTCACACTGCTATAGCTTACATTTCCATTGATGTTAATTCAACTCCTTCACACTATCACTCAGTAGCACCTCTCCCCAAAAAAACAGGAGAGGTGCAAAAGTTGCTAGGGTTAGAAAGTTGAAGATAAAATTCCCTCCTCAGACTCAGCCTTCAATACTTTTAGTTAAAACAAAACATTGTTCAAAGGCAGAGCCAACAATAAGAATCAAGCTCTTGTATGAAAGCCAAGATTTCCAGTTAATGCAATAACTTTTTTAAACACTGAGGGTTGAGTGTCATGATAGGAAATGAATAGGGCTTTGTTCCACTTATAAGGAAGCTATCAGAAAGGAATTAGCACTGAGCAATTCTGTGTTGTTTAGAAGTATAAGAAAACAACAAGTACAGAATGAAACATGGAGGGATCAGAGCAATATTGGAGTAGATAATCTGGAAAGGGTTCTCCATGACTCAGTTAGCAGCATTTTTACCTCTCAGTCAGAAGACTGGGGCTTCAAGACCTGCTCCACAGATTGGAGCACAAAATCCAGGTTGACACACCTAGTACAGCACTGAGGGAATGCTAATCAGGCAGAGGCTCTGTCTGCTCTCTCAGGTGAATATACAGAGGAGTAGGACCATTTAAGACCCTTTGAAGGATGACTGGACTTGAAACATTAATTGTTTTTCTCTCAACAGATGCTATGAGACCTGCTACGTTTCTCCAGCACTGTCTGTCTTTGTTCTCTTTATGTACTCTATCTGTTTGCCTTAATATCTTGAACTTCAGTCAAATTATCCAATAACCTTCTCAATTCCAAGAATACAATGTTTGTTTGTGCAATATGTTCATGTAATTTAACCCTCAGGAGTCTAGGTTCTCATTCTGCGGAACCTATACCGCAATCCTTTCAAAACCAATACATCCTTCTAAGTTGTACTGCCCAAAACTTCTCACGGTGTGATCTAACCAATGCTTTATATGGCTTAAACATGACTTCTATCCCATTCTATCTACTCCTCTAAAATATAAAAGGCCAGTATTTCAATAGACATTTTGATTAGTTTCATACCTGCGCATGACATTTTAATGATCTGTGCACCTTATCCCATACATCTCTTTGGATCGCTATTGTTCCTTACTTTTCAGCATTTAAAAAATATCCTGTTTTATCCTTTTTAAGATTGGACTATCTCACTTTCAACTACATTGAAATCCATTTGCCATTGTTTAATTCATTCACTTAATCTATCCAATATTGCATCAATTTTAGTTATGATCCATGTTGCTTAAAATGCTGACTACCTTTGAGTCATTAGCAAATTTGAATATGTAGTTTTCTAACTGATCATCTAAGTCAGTAATAAAGTGAATAGTTTACACCCAAATATACATACCTCTGGCACACCACTAGTCAAATCCTCTCAATTAGGTTATGTTCCCATTATCGCCTCTCCCTGCGTTCTGCCAAACAGCTGATTTTCAAACCAGGTTAATAATTTTTCTTCAATTCCATGAGGTAGAAATTTGACCAAGAGCCTAGATTGATTTCTGGGGTGAAAGTTACTTTTTTGAGAAAAGGTTGTATAGAATATGCCTATATTCTTGGAAGCTTACAAGAATGTGCGGAAATCTCACAACAACATTAAGGTTTTGGGAGGGCTCAACAGACAGATGGTAACAGGCTATTTCCCCCCATTGCAGTGTCAACAACAAATAGAGCAGAGTCTCAGGATAAAGGTTCAGCCAGTTAGGACTAAGAGGCGAGCAAATATTTTCACGCAAAGCATTGAGAATCTTTGAAATTCTGTTTCCAGAAAAATGTTATTGAGTGTATTCAAGTCTGAGGCCAATACACTTTTGAATGAATGGAATCAAGGGATATGGGAAAGTGGAGGTGAGGTTAGGGACCAGTCTGTTCCATTTGAAAAAGCGAGCAAATGGAGGGCGGCGGCAGTGGGGGGGAGCGGTTGGGTGGTGCATACAACCTTTCTCCTGCTCCTATTTCTTATGTTTGACTCGATTAAATGCCTTCTGGAAGCCCATATAAATAACATTCATAACTATTCCCCTGTCCACTACTTTAGTCACCTCTTCAAAATGTTCATTCAAGCACAATGGTGGCTCAGTGCTGCCTCACAGTGCCGGGGACCCAGGTCCAAATCTACCCCCGATGACTGTTTGTGTGGAGTTTGCACGTTCTCCGCTTGAGTTTCTGCCACGTACTCGGGTTTCCTTCCACAGTCCAAATATGTAAAGGTCACGTGGATTGGCCATGCTAAATTGGCCACAGCATCCAGGGATGTGTAGGTAAGGTGGTTTAGTCATGGGAAATGCAGGGTTACAGGGATAGAGTAAGAGGATGTATTTGGATGGGATATTTTCTTCAGAGGGGCCAAATAGCCTGCTTCCACATGTAGGGATTCTATTCTTCTCTATGATTTATTCTTTACAAAACAATGCTGGTTCTGTCTGATTAGTTGAAAAAAAATCAAGATGTAGAAAGATATCACAGCACTATCTTACAGAGCAAGGGAACCCTCCCTTGGTGTCCTGGCCTATTCC